ATCCCCAAGAGTATGGAGTTTTTTTTTTTTTTTAAAGCCTGAATATAATTTGTTGTTGCTTTATACTTCATAAGAGGCCAAAAAATTTTTTTGTTATTGCCCCTGTATTACAGGTAATAATGATAAAAATAAAATAAAATCATGGAAAATACAGTTTAAAGTTGAAAATATAAAAACTTTAGTAAACTGAAAAACTGAAGCATGATACTTAATTTAGCCATGTGGAAATGTAAAAAGATCAGCTAATTATGGTATGGCACAGATCTAAGTACTGTGTAAGTTTCAGTGTCTGGATAATCTACCTATATAAACTCTAAAACAGTGATGGTGAACCTTTTAGAGCTTTTAATGATAACAAATGGCCCACTGCAGCACGTGTGCCACGGGTTCACCCCCACTGGTCTGAAACAATGTAAAGACATTTTCATAGGCAAACAGGCAAGAGGGATCACAAAAAGTGCAAAGGAAGGCTCTTCAGTACTTAACAATGGATGAAGGTTGATTTTGGCTTTTGAAAGTTTAAACTAAATTATAATCTCATTGGACAAACAATGCCTTAAATAGAACTAACAGCTCTAATGTTACGACTTTCTTACAGTTGACTGTGAGGTGCATGGAATTTGATTACAGAGGTATGTTAGGGTGATCAACCTTCCTATATGCATTGGTCTGCACCAATTCTAGCAACATGAGACTTGCGGTTTTAAAACCAGTATGAGTTGGAAACCCTGGGGTCTGTTTTCCCATGTATCAGTGACACCTTAAATCAAACCAGCCAGATAGTGAGCTTTGGACGTGGCTCTATATTCACCTTCATTGGACATTTGTACTGAGTTCACTTCTTGATGGCATAGTTCCTTTTTTTTTTTTTTAAAGCAAGTTAGTAGTCACACCTGTAATCTTGACTGAGTTTAGTAATTACCAGCAATACAAAATGTGTTATGTTTAATTTTCTGAAAGTTCAAATAAGCAAACAGACACCTTCAAGTTAGGTAAGTAATGTATTCTCTTTTTTTCCCAAATTCCTGAATTCCCACATTCGTTTTTCTCTAGAAAAACGGGACTCTACTGTTATGCTTTGTGTCTGGATGTCCCCTCAAAGCCTCCTGTAGTCATGGGGCGGGCTTCTAGAGTTTATGATTGGTCCATGGTCCAATGTTGGGATTATGGGTGTGAGTGCCATACCTGCTCTGGGGTGGGTAGTTTGCATACAATGTAAGGGATACAATGCTTGCCACTCCTCCCCTTGTGCTCTTGTTGATTTGCTATCTTCCACCACCATGAACTGTTGCCCTGTGCCATGTGCCACTCTGCCTTGGAGCCAGCGAAGTATGGGCTGAAACTTCCACAAACTGTGAGCTAAATAAACCTTTCCTTCCTTAATTTTGGGTGTCAGGTATTATGTCTCAGCAAGGAGAGAAAAGTAACCAAGACACCAACAAAGTTACCCTTGATTTTAAAAAATCCTTTCTCAACTTGAACTAGTGATTTCTAACTCCATTTCCTTAAGAGAATTCTACAGACTGTAAGTAACAACAAAGAAAACTAAAGGTGAGCCATCAATGGATTTTAATCTGTCATTTGGTCATCCAACTTCCTTTAGGCATAGATAAGTACCTGTCATCTTTGAGGTGGATGATATCTCATGGAAATAATCACTTTCTAAAAGTATATATGACTCCAGATTCCTAACACTGAAAGGATATTCAAGTAATTTTATACCTGCCAAGGAACAACACCAGTCATGAGGAACACTCAGTACGACTGGCTCCCCTACGATCACCTTCATCAGGGAAAAAAATGACCTGAAAAAGAAATGGCTGACTATGACTTGATCTTTGGATATTACGCTGTATTTCAAAACCCTTGTTTTTGCACAAAACTGAAAACCCTGGAAAAGCATATGCAAAGGAGTAAAATCATCATGTTTTCATTAAACTGTTCAGAAATAGGCAGCTGGTTAAAAGATATTTATGAAATACTGTACATTAAAATACCTCATGATATTATTTAGATTAGTAGAAGCTGCATGCAATTGGCATCATACATTCAAAGGCACAGTTGATTTTAAGATTGAAACAGTACAGATCTCAACCCTTACCAAAAAAATGCTCTCAGTTTTAGGTTATGTAATGATAAACTGTATCTGTTGAAAAATATTATGTGGAAAAAGAAATAATTTCTGTACAAATATGACTCATGTAGGTATTCATTTATTTGAATCCAGCTGACTACAGTAAGTGAGTTTGGCTTACTGGGCATAAGTATGCAACATTTAAAAGTGGAGATCTTTATTAAAACAGGAGGCTCCTCAAACTGCAAGATGATGTCAAGAATACAGATCCTTAGAGCACACTATTGTTTTAAGCGGAGGTCCCCAAACTTTCACATTGGTTATAAAACATTATTTTGTGCTGCTGGCCTGGAATGAGAATGTCATACATCTGCAGGCAGTTAGGAGAAGCTGGACTGCATGTTTGATTAGCTCAACAATAAACGGGCACAAGAGTGACTCGACTTATGCTAGTCAGATTCCCAAGACAGATTATCCTGTCATTATCATGTGAAATAACCCCACTTTATCAACAATTGAGTAAATCCACATTTATGGGCACTTTGAAAAATTGTGTGGTGGGAAGAAATCCAACCTAAGTCTTCAGTCACCCAAAAAAGCTTTAACCCTGCTGCCAGTAGTGCAGACCCCAAGCCCACGGTTTGAAGTTGGCTGAATTATACAGAACAGTTTGGGTTGGAAATACTCCATGTGCACACAATAAACAAGTAAATGTTTACAGCTTCCATAAATAAGGTATTAATAGTTGTACTTTATAATTTTAAAAAATTCCTGAGAATTGTTTTAATATGTGAAAAGAAACTTTGTAGAGTAGCATAAATATTTTCAAGAACAGTTAAATAGGATTTCATTTTCATTATTCATAGTATAGTTGGTACTGTAACCAATGTAGGTTATAAACCTGAAATGTACTTTAGTATAGAACTCCTTCATCCAATTCTAGATTTTGCTGTTTAATTTGACAGTAAGAATCAGTGATGGATAAATCTGGGAAACGGCCTATTCATTTACCCTTCCAAGTATCATTAAAATATATAATAACTGAAAGGTTAAAAACAACTCAGAATGTAAAATTATTACTTAAAAAATTTCAGCAAAATTTTCAGATTTCAGAATAAACCACCAAACTTTCTAATCTAATTATATATTTAAGTAACAATAAAAAGTTGGTACATCTTAAATAAACTCAAGGTATTTTTATCCGTATTCATCCGTATATATGTGACATAATACATATATTATGTCAGTTTATCTCTTTGCCATAACCCTTAAATTAGATATCAGAATATCAAGTAGATGCTGAGGCATTCATCATCAATACTGGAATTCTGACTCATGTCAGTAACACAAAACAGATGCTCATATGATGCTTCCTCTGAAAAGTGACATCATCACGGCATGGATTAGCTCTTGATGTGGGGTTAACTTAAAATTTGCACACAAAATATGAAGTAGTAAACATTATGTAGTGCAAACATATACAAAAAAAATAAAAATGAAGGGGATCAAGAGATGGGTGGAGGCAGGATGAATGAAGGGAAGGAGATGACAAAAGGAATTAAGATGTGGTGCATACATGCACCAACTTCCCACAAGGAATATGAACGTTATGTACTACACACATGGACTAATAAACTCAAATGAGAAAGAATGAAAATGAAAGAAAAGAAATAAAATCAAGACATGACCTCACTTCTCAGCCATTTAAAATGTAGGGTCTCTTATACAGAAGGCAAAGCACTGGGAATACAGGGTGCAGGGGCAGTGCCCGAAGGCACAAAAAGATGTACTGTACCTGATACAACAGGTGATGATCCCAGCTGTGTGTGTTTTGGGGCAAGGGGCACTCTCTTCCTCACTTACAATCAGGCCAATGTATGTGCCATGCCCTTACACAGCTGTGATTACAGTTGTGATAAGAGCCCATCATATGGGGTCTGCCCAGCCAGCCCTTGGCAGTGTGAAAGGAGTGTGGGAGTTCTTGTGGCCTCACCTCAGTAATACAATCTCCACACAGGCGGCTATGAAAGGGTTTGCTAAAAAGGAAAAGGGAAACAAAATCCCTTTGCACAGTCCAGTTAGCTAATATCCTACATGTCTTCAAAGCCTGAGATTCTTATCACTTTGCTAGCATGAGTCTACAGCTGTTTCTAGAATACACAGTGATATGTACTCTTTGTGAAAATAAACAGAAAAGCCCAGGCAGATGGTGCCATGATGCAAGTGATATAAGCAAAGTGTCCTCAAATGAAAGCCTTAAAAGAGATATCAATGTGAACAGTGGAGAGTCTCTCCAGGGTAATGAGGAGCAGGAGCCCTATTTTTTAAAATTCCTGCATGAGGAAAACAAGCCAGTGGCAAGTTCAATGACAAGAAAGCTGGAGAAATCAAAAGACAGGGAGCAGTTCAACAGCACCATTTCAAATTTCAAACGAGCAACCTGACTGTTATTTCTGACAGCTGTGACTCTGGCGCCCTCCCGCCTGGGTTGGAAAGCCAGCTCGGCACTTTCCACCTGTGTGACCTCTGGTTCTCAAATCTGGCTGCATGCTGGAACCATGCGGAGACCTTTAAAAACACTGGAGCCTAGAATCCACCCCTGGGACAGTTATTTAATTGTTCTAGGGTGTGGCTTGACCACTGAAGTTTTAAATGTTCCTAAGTGACTATAAATGGAGACAGCTAAGCTTGAGAAACACTGATGAATTTTCCAAGCCACAGTTTCCTCATGTATAAAATGACAGGGACAGCAACTGCCTCTTAAGGTTACTGCAATGACTAAATACGCTAATTCAGACAAAGCACTTAGCACCAAGTTCCACACAAGGGAGCCGTTGATAAATGTGAGCAATTATTATATCATTATCATCACTAGGAGAGGCACCTGTGTGAGAACCAGCTTGTTAGAGTAATCAGTCATACTCACCTTGACACAAGTTATGCTCGCTCTGCTCATAGCCTGCTGGACACTGGATCCGGGGGGAAGGGTTGGAGGGAATGCGCTGAGGGTCAGCTGGGTTCCGCCGCATGACAAAGTTATTTCGGCCAGTCTGCACTTCAGGGCCTACGACTGCAGCAGCACTGGCCACAAAACCACCCCCAGGCACCACTCCGCTGGCTGCCATGCTACTGGCAGAAACACCCCCAGTGGTTGCACCTGAGGATGCTTCAGCTGCTGGTGTTTCTTGCTGAGGTTGTTCATTATTGACAATAATTTGGGCTGTTTTAGGAAGGCAGAGGTATCCTCCATAGTGGTTGACACATTTCATTCCACCTTTGCAAGCATCTGGGACAATGTCACATTCATCAATATCTGTGGTCAGTAATAAAATTAGTCAGCAATCTTCTTAGAGGGAAAATAGGACAGATAAATACAAGCACACACCTTTAGGCATCATGTAAATAAGAAGAACAACACAAGAGATGGGAACAGAAACCTTTGTTCATGGGAAGACTGGAGCTGGCTCACCTTTGCATTGCTGACGTATAGGGTCCCACTCATATCCATCAGTGCATTGCTGCAAAGAAAACACCAAAGATGGAGCCAGGGGAAAATTAATTGTTTAAGAAGTCACTCTAAAAGCTTTGTTCTTATGGCGCTAATCCTCATGCTGGAGTCCTAGATTCACGATGAGATGCGTAGTTTAACGTTCTTTGGCTTTTCTCATTTTTAAGACAATTCTGTGCATTGGGCAGCTGCAAGAGTCCTTTCTCAATCGTCAGCTTCTCAAACTCCTAACTGCTGGGTTAGTTATACTGGCCCATGACCACCATTTTGTAATTATGTTCTCTCTCTCTTCAGACTAACCTTCTCCAACCTCTCAGAGTGCCCCTTTTTATTTGTCCTTTTGGTTTTCCACATTGTAAATTCTACCATAAAAGACAAAAAATTCAATCAATTTTTTTTTCTAGCATTGAACTCTTCTCTAAGTCCTCTTGAGCATCCAAGCACTTGGCTTTGCTGACTTGTTCTTTGCTAACTCTCATACCCTCTCTGCCTCCTATCTTTGGTTCCCCTGGGCCTTGTCTGGTTCACTCACTGAACAAATCATCTATCAAGCACCTCCTCGCCTCAGTCACTGTTCCAGGCCATGAGGATACAAAGATGATGAAGAATGGACCCTACCCTCTAGCAGCTCATGAGCTAGAAGATAACTGGGAAGATGTCAGTGGTGTGACAGAAATGTGTGTATGGAAGGGTGAGAAACTCTTCTGGAGCTGTGTGGCGGTGTGACAGGGAGGAAGGGAAGGCTGAACAGGGGAGGTGCAAATTAATGGCCTTACACAATCAGCAGGAGTTTTCCCAGGGAGGTGAGGGAGTTCTAGGAAGGTAGGGCCAGAAGAGCAAGGGCACAGAACTGTGGAAGAGGACAAGAGCTAGTAGTAGTTCTGGGAGGGAGACGGGTGAGAGAAGTGGCCAAGGCCAAATCCAGGACAGGGAGGAACTAGATTCTCCTCTGAAGGTGAGTGATTCTCAAGATTTAGCACATGCATAGGATCACCCAGGGTGTTTGTTAAAATGTAGACCCTTAGGCTCACCCTGAGGCTCCGATTCTGTAGGACTGGGTAGGAGGCCTGGAGTCTGAATTCCTCATGTGTCTCCCAGGTGATTTCTTTTTTTTTTTCCTTTTTGGTACTGGAAATCGAACTCAGGGCCTTGCGGTTGTCAGGCAAGCACTGTGCCACTGAGCTGTGTCCCCAGTGCAGGTGATTTCTATATAAGTCATCTGTGGGTATATCTTGAGAAATGTTGCTATATGTGATATCAGGCCCCTGAAGAAGTTTGAAGCTTGGGAATAATTTTGATTAGATGTTTGTTTGAGAAAATCAGTGAGGAAATTGCCTCAGGAAGGACTGTACAACAGTGGAGTCAACAGGCAAACTGGCTTATGTTGTTTTAATAAGCTGAGAATTGATTATGCAAACAAGTGTCTGTCAAGTGACTAGCTAAATGAAGGCAGAGAGATCAATTTAGGTATTTTACTGATATCTAAAATTTAACAGACTGAAATAAAGTCAGTGTGATCTCCCAGGCTAATTCTTTTTTTCTTTATTTTAGTTTCTCTGACACCATGTGAGGCCCTACCACCTTCCTCAGAACACAGGAACATTAGCTCTGACTTCTCCAATTACTGTCCTTCAAGCTCAGCCTACTTGCGTTCACGTTTACATCGATTCCATGGCTGTGAGCCGTCCTAGCTTCCCGTGGCAGCCAGGCTCTGATTCTTCACCTTTCACACACATCACGCATTTTGTTCTTTCTTGCCTGCTGAAGTTGTTCCTCCACCTGTGAGCTCAGTCGCCCACAGACCTCTGTCTGTCCCTAAGACCTTCTTCAGGTTCTTTCCACCTCCCAGCTCCTTCTCAACCCCTGGCTTGTCTTGGTTGTTTCACCTTGGTCTTAATGTCACTCTTTCTGACTCAGGTGCCTCTTTGATGTTTTTAGATCAACTTGAGGTCATAATCTCCCTCAAGAACCGGTACAGAGTTCTCTGATATGTCAGCACCAACATTAATTACCTCTTTGCTTTCCCACATCTTTAGCAATTTGTATAATCTGGATAATAGTATTATTTGTACTTGCTTAGGAACTTAACAGTTTTCAACAGTGTCTTCCCAGTGTAAATTTCCAGAGGCGGAAAGCTGAACCTTTTGAGTAAACAAAGTCTTTTGATAGTGATGAGAGCTGTTTATACAGATACCTGTGAAGCGGCTGGATGAACCCTATCTTTAATATGGAATGAAAATATGAGGCTGCCTTGAGGATATGAGTCCATCCTTCTGGAAAGTATTTTCAAAATTAGGCAAAAGTGGCAGTTCACTTGAATAATTTGTATTATAAATAGGGAAGACGTACAGCCTTTTAAAGGTATTTAGTTCCAATGCATTTAATATGGGTCTACTATTACGTAAGTCTAGACTGAATTTAGCTTTCCCATCTGCTGGCTCTGGACTCTAAAGCAAGGTGGACGAGCTCTGATCTTCAGTTCCATCAGCAGCAGAAGGTGGTGCCACTTACCTCACACCTTGCTATGAGGATGGAGGGACAAGGTGTCTTCACAGTGGAGTGCTCACAACCCCAACAGCCACCTTGTTCTTTATGCATGAATTATTAGGCTTACACAGTTCAACAAAGAACAAACCTGATCTTAGTACAAAACTGGTATCATACATTCAAAAAAATCTGTTACAATATTAGTGAACCCGAGTTAGTAGTTTTAAAACTTTAGTGCTCAATTCACAGGCTCTTTCTCTGCTAAAATGAGTAAGACTTAGGTAGTTAGCAGAAGGAAGAGGGCATAAGACAAGCAATTGTAAAAGCAATAAAACCTTTTACTAGATGATTATAGAAGCAAATAGTGTATTTAATTTTGGCTTCCTGAGAAGGTGGTAAGTTTGGCCTGAATGACAAAACATCTTCATTTGAAGATAAACAGCACAAGCATTCATTTTCTTGCTTCATTTAACTTCAGCAGAGGGTGCAACTGCATTTAACATTAAGCTCACAAAATATTTACAGTAAACGTATTTATAGTTGGCCTGAATAAAAGAAAGGAATATTTACCAGATGATAGTAACATTCAAGGGATAACACGGTATCAAAACGTGAGATAATGTTTAGTATCAGTAATTGACATTAGCTCTCTTTCAAGCATTTTATTTTCAAAAAATCTCACATTCTTTTAAGATCATTTAATTTTTAAAAATCGGGAACAAGTAGAAAAAAAAAAGGTTCACACATTTTGATCCATGCCCAGTGTCGTTCATCTCACAGCACTGACTACAAACCGGAACACATCAGCCAGAGGTTCGGACTCACCGCAGTGAGGTAAGCACTGCCCTGCTCTGTTCTCACCACATGCAGTTTTTCGGAGTGGGAGAGCTCTGGTGATATAGTAAATATGTTATAAATACTGGCTATCCTCACGCAGTTAACTAATTAATCAAGCCGTTGGAAATATCAGAGATGCTAGTAAAAGATGCAAACACTGCATTTTGAATCCACTTTAGCAAATAATACATCCTAGTAACTCATAAACTGTATGTGAAGGGAACTTATATGAGTTGTGCTAGAAGTGAATATATAATCTTTTAGATTCGATAAAGGTAGCTTCCATGAGAACATAAGTTACATGCACAAATGGGGTGCTGGGCTTATACGAAGTTTAACAATCTTATTTAAGGGTTAGTCTGAATGTATTTATTTCATCTGCATGTACTTCTGTAGGAAGTCCAGCCTCCTAATTCCTAACGCCCACAAACGTACTGAATGTATTAGAAATATACCGCTAACTTTTAGTTCTACAGGCGTGCCTCTTCGGCCTTGCACAAATCATTGCATTTGGGTCCCTACCATTCAGTGATCCCAATGAACGTTTGTAAGGAGCAGGGCAATTAACAATGAATCTTAAACGTGAGCCACACTAAAACTTGTTCACTGCCCTTGGCAGAGTACAACCTGTCCCCACTGGGGAGCTGGGGAGTCTTCCTGTGCCACAGCGTCCCTCCTGACCGCACTTGTCTCAAGTTCCACCCTCCCTTACCGTGTACGTGATGGTTTCTTCGGTGTCCTGGGACTTGACCAGCGCCAGAGTCAGCATAGTTAAGAAAAGGCTTTTCCACATCGTGAATCTCAAAGAAAACACAGGGCAAATAGATGTTTAGTATCTGCTGAAGGGAAATAACAACGTCAGCAGGGAAGTGACAGGCAAGAAAGAGAGGGAGACCAGGGCATTTGGACCCCCGATTTCGGCTCTCTTCTCTCCCCGCCCCACCTCACCCTCGCCACGCCTACCAGGAGGCAGGGAAGGCGAGAAAGGACCGCAGAACTGCATTTCACTTTATTTCATCCACATCAATGCGAAGGACACTCACCGTGCACGGTATACCGCACCTAACGCAACCGGCTCCGGAAAGGGGGCGTCAAGGGAGAAAGAGTGGAAACAATCTCAAAGGCAACGGTGCGTTTGTGTTTTGAAAGTATAAGTGAGGCAGCAAATTTCTGTTCCCTGGAGCACTAAGAATTTCCCTATATGCTCACCTTGCACAGCTCAGCAAAAGTACCTGCGAGCCAGCAGCAATGGTACGACCTCAAACTTTTTAAAAACGTACACAAAGCGGAGAGCACACGCCTTCCAGCTGCGGCGGCGCTCTCGTTTCCCACAGCCCTGCACACGTCTCGCGTCCTCCCGCAGGACTCCGGCGCGTGCCTGGCGTCCTCGGCGCGCAGCTCGGCGGCGGCGCCCGGTC